GACGGGGGGGCTGCTGGCCGTGGTCGTCTACCTCTACACCGTGGTGGCCTTTAACTTCTTCCGCAAGTTCTACAACAAGAGCGAGGACGAGGACGAGCCGGACATGAAATGTGACGACATGATGACAGTGAGCGGGGGGGGGTTACTCCGGGGGGAGTTACTCCGGGGGGGGGGGACACCTTGTCCCACCAGTGGCTGTGGCTGTGGAGGAGGCCTGGGGCACAAGGGGATCCCTGGGCCCCGATGGGTATGTGTGGGGGGGTTGCTCTGATGGCTCCAGGGGTGGCGTCCAGGTCCCCCCGTCTCTGACCCATCGGGCACCCCTCACCCCACCGTGTCTCCCCCCAGTGCTACCTGTTCCACATGTACGTGGGGGTGCGGGCGGGCGGGGGCATCGGGGACGAGATCGAGGACCCGGCCGGCGACGAGTACGAGCTTTACCGCGTGGTGTTCGACATCACCTTCTTCTTCTTCGTCATCGTCATCCTGCTGGCCATCATCCAGGGTGAGCGGGGGGCTGGGGGGGGGGCTGCATGAGGGTGAGTGGGGTGGGTGCGCCGGGCTGGGCGGTGACCGGGGAGGGGGTGCGTGGGGTGGGGGCTGCATGGGGGGTGAATGGGGTGGGGATGCTGGGCTGGGGGGTGAATGGGGAGGGGGCGCCGGCCTGGGGGGTGAGCGGGGTGGGTGCCGGGCTGGGGGTTGCTTGGGGGATGAGTGGGCTGGGGGGTGAACAGGGAGCGGGTGCCAGGCTGGGGGGTGAATGGTGGTGAACGGGGTGGGGGCGCCGGGCTGGGGGGTGAACGGGACGGGACGCTGTGCCTGGGGCACCCTGCCAGCTGTCGGCGCTGAGGTGGGGGGCCCGGCCCTGCTGATGTGTGGGAGAGGAGTGGGGGCTGGGTAGGCTGGCCCCCGGGCGCTGCCCCCAGGGTGACTCGGGGGGGCCCCCTCGCCCCCCTCTCTCTGCCCAGGCCTGATCATCGACGCCTTCGGGGAGCTGCGCGACCAGCAGGAGCAGGTGAAGGAGGACATGGAGGTGAGTGACCCCCCCCACAGGCCCTCCCAGGTGTGACACCCCCCCACCCCCACCCCCCCCACGCTGGGTCTGTGGGAGCGGCCGGCTCAGCCCCCGGGCGGGTTCCCGGCCGCACCCATGTCTGGGGGGCAGGTCTGGGCCCTGGAATGGGGGTGGGGGGTAACCCGGCTCTGTGCTGTGCAGGGGGAGGGTGGCCCCGGGCTGGGCAGCCAATCCCCACTCTGCCCCTTAGAGGGGGGAGGGGGAGCCAGGACACCTGGGTTCTCATCCCTGCGACCCCCCTCCGCCCCCCAGACCAAGTGCTTCATCTGCGGCATCGGCAGCGACTATTTCGACACGACGCCGCACGGCTTCGAGAGCCACACGCTGGAAGAGCACAACCTGGCCAACTACATGTGAGTGGGGGCGGGGCCAGGGGCGGGGCTAAATTCATGGGGGCGGGGACAAGGCCGGGGTGGAGCTTGGGGCGGGGCCAGGATCATGGGGTGGGGCCCACTGCATGTGATTGACAGGGGGTGGGGCCAATGTGTGGGGCGTGGGGCTACTCCGTGTGAATGCGGGGCCCTGCCCTGCAGCTCCCAAGTCATTGCCGTGTGTGATGCTCATGAGGTTAAATTGGGGGGGGCTGTGCCCTGACCCCCCGGCTCTGACCCCCCCTCACTCGCCCAGGTTCTTCCTGATGTACCTGATCAACAAGGACGAGACGGAGCACACGGGCCAGGTGAGCCCCCGCCCCCCCCCGCACCAGGCAGCCGGGGGTACCGGGCCCAGGGTCGGCCCCACGGGGGAGAGGAATACGGGCTGGAGGGTCCCATGGGTCGGCCCCACGGGGGA